GCTTGGCAAGACAGAGAGGGACAGACAGACATGGCAGGCAGACAGACAGACAGACAGAGAAACAGACAGACAGGGCAGATAGAGAGACAGACAGGCAGACAGAGAGAGAGACAGGACAGGCAGACAGGGAGAACAGACAGATAGAGAGACAGAGAGACAGAACATGAAGAAACAGACAGGCAGACAAGACAACAGATGACAGACAGGCAGACAGACAGATAGGCATATATATTATAATAATATTAATATATATATTTATTATAAACATCCCCCTTATAACAGACATGTCTCTCTCTCTTGTCTCTCTCTGTCTGTCTCTCTTCCCTCTCCTCTCTTCTCGCTCTCTCGTCTCTCCCTCTCTGTCTCTCGGCTCTCTCTCTCTGCTCATCTCTCTCTGTCTGTCTCTCTGGTCTGTCTCTCTCGTTCTCTCTCTCTGTCTGTTCTCATCTTCTCTCTGTCTGTCTTCTCTGTCTTCTGTCCTCCCTCTCTTCTCACTCTCTCTCTCTCTCTGTCTTCTCTCTCTCTCTGTCTGGGGTCTCGCTCCTCTCTCTCTCTGTCTCTCTCTCATGTCGTCTGTCTCTCGTCTGTCTCTCTCTCTGTCTCTCTTCTCTCTCTCTGTCTGTCTCTCTCTCTCTCGCTCTTCTCTCTCTTGTCTTCTCTCTCTCTGTCTGTCTCGCTCTACTTCTCTCTGTTCTCTCTCTTCTGTCTCTCTCTCTGTCTGTCTCTCTGATCTCTCTGTCCCTCCCTCTCTCTCTCTCTCTCTGTCTCTCTCTCTGTCTCTCTCTCTCTCTCTCTGTCTCCCTCCCTCTCTCTCTCGCTCTCTCTCTCTCCCTCTCTCAGTGGTTCACAGTGAGGGGGCGGGGCTTTATGGTTCACTGATTATTGAGATATGAAAGCAGTCAAAGGTCACAGAGGTTTGTAAGAACATACAAACAACAGTCAGTGACACACCTGTACAGGTACAGCTTCAGGAACCAGCCCCAGGTCCCAGATATACCTTCAACTGAGGTGAGGAACTAAACACGTCAGCAAACACGTGGTAAGTTTCAGCTTCATTAATCTTTTAACCAGAGCCACCGTTAGTCCTACGTGATCCTTCAGAGTTCTGGTCTGACAGAGGCGGGTAGATCTGTTGATCTCTGCTGATGTTTCCTTTGGTTCTTCTCCAGGTTTGATTCAGCTGCTTCTCCTTCTGGTTCTCCTTCTGGTTCTCCTGCTGGTTCTCCTTCTGGTTCTCCTGCTGGTTCTCCTGTTGGTTCTCCTGCTGGTTCTCCTGTTGGTTCTCCTTCTGGTTCTCCTTCTGGTTCTCCTGCTGGTTCTCCTTCTGGTTCTCCTGCTGGTTCTTCTGTTGGTTCTCCTGCTGGTTCTCCTGTTGGTTCTCCTGCTGGTTCTCCTGTTGGTTCTCCTGCTTGCTGCGCAGTGAGCAGCCATGCTGGGAAGAACAGGAACCCTCACTGGACGTTGTAGGTTTGAACTCCAGCAGTGCCGCTCCCTCTCCTCCTCTCTACCTCCATCTGAGCTCTCCAGACTCCATTACCCAGCAGGCAGTGGGAGCAGGAAGTACAGGTCTGGGCAGGAGGCGGAACAGATGAGCTTGGCTCAGATCAATCGCATCTTAAAGGTGAGAGAATCAGTTATTCAAGGTGTCAGTCAACCTACCAGTCAAACTGATCCGTCTTCTGTTGCCAGGCCAATGAATACAGTCGCACCTTCCCCAGAGGACCTGCCTCCCATGGTGTCCTCGGTTTCCATAGCAACATGTTGCCATCCAACCACCCTGGTGAGGATCGCTGGAGTAGCGCCACCTGCCTGCCGGGCTGTGGTGGCGTGCAGTTTGGTGTGTTTGATGGCCATGTCGGGTCGGCGTGCGCTCACGCCGTCAGCCAGAGGCTCTTTTACTACATTGCCATAGCAACGCTGCCACTGAAGACACTGACGGAGCTCGAACGGGCGGTGGAGGAGGAACGGGCCGTACCACCGCTGCTGGAGTGGCACAAACACCCACAAGACCACAGCTGCCCTGATGGAGGAGCAATCTCCTTCCAAAGCCTCCGAAACTACTGGCAAGAGAGGCTGGAGGATGAAGAGGAGGAGAAGGAGGAGGAGGAGGTAACCAGCCAGTCAAATCAGTGAACCTCGAGTGAAAGTCTCGAGGTTTTAACTGGTCTAAAATTGTGGACCCAAAAGATGGAACCTGATGCAGTATATATTTTTTAAAACAGGTCCCTACCAGACCTGATGAATATAATTTAGGCCTGACTCAGGTCCCAGGTTGGCTGTAGTACCTGTTTAACAATGTCTGCCAGAACATTTAAAAAATATATATTTCTTTGTATTTTTATATCAGAATCCAATCATTGTGTCTCCCTGTGAAACTAAATGTGACGCCTGCTTACATCAACTGATTTCAACCAATAATATCCTGATATTCACCCGTCAATCAATCTTCAACTTTTAGCGACACAGAGTGAAGATTCATTAGTTAGTTTAGATTCAAACCCAGGCCACTGCGGTACTGGGACGCCTCTAGCTGCCTGTTTCTACAGGACACACATAAACATGCTGAAGCAAACAGATCTGTGCTTTCCATTTCAGAGGGACTTTAAATGTGAGTGGAAGTAAGATATGTGTATTTATTTTATTTCTGATAAATCAATCATGGGCCCTGAGGCTGTGTGCATTTTCCCGGCCTACCTGATATCAGGTAAATGGGAAGTTTCTGGTGAGCATGATGTGGAATAGAAAGCAGAACTTTGAAGCAGAGTATGAATGCATATGAGGGTTCAGATCGGCAACAGGAAGTCAGTCAATGAGGAACTCAGGTGACTGAGACTGTGTTCGATCACTATATTTAATGTCTCCTAGTAATGTGCGGGTCGCAGTTCTCGGACACTGCGGTAAACCCGTCGATCGGCCGGCCAGGTGAAACGGTGTCTCCATTAATAGAGACGCTGTGCACATTTATGCATCTTCATTGATTATTTAAATCTCCCGAGACGCCAACAGGACCGGTCAGGATCTACTGTTAATTAATGTTCTGTGTTCTTCTGCAAAAGGTCACAGTCCAGGTTCATACGGGGAAATAGTTTGCAGTAAAACAGCCGTTCGCTGATAAATCCTGAACTTTATCACAGTTCCCTCCATCCTGTCCAGTTTATAACAGACAGAATGTGTCCTGATGATGGTTCCTTAAAGGCCACATTTACACAGGAAACTGAAAACAGGCTGTGTGGAAGAACAACATGTGCAGTTTAGTTACAACTATACCAGTTTAGCTAGCTAACAACTATTAATAACTACCACAACAATGTGATATCATTGGATATCACATGGGACATTGCTGTCAGGATTACGTACTCTTCAGAGTGGATGCATTTACACCTTTTCAGCCTCCAGCTCTCCGATGCTTCTGGGATGAATTTACACTCTGTGATTTGTTCAGGAAGTGTGAACGGGCTGAAACGGGCCTCTGACCAGCTTGACTCACTCAGTACAGTAGAAAATAACCAAAGCTTAAATGATTCTGGCAAAGTTGCTCTAACAGCGCCATGACATATGAGCATGAACTGAGACTGTATATGATCTTTAGACCTCTAAAACTGTATTATTTAAAAGCAATAAAGAGCAACCTAAAGAGTGGAACACACTCCTTCAGTAGAAACATGTTAATGGTTTAAAGTCTCTTCAGTCTGTTTGATGCTGCTGGTTGCTCAGGTTGAAGAGTCTCTACACATAAAAGCTCCTCTTACTGTCTCATCCTCTCACACACTTGTCTCTTTAATTATTGCTGAGTGTTTTCTTTCATTTCAGCCTGAGCAGCTCAGAAATCTCTGCCTGTATCTTTCTGTCAGATCACTCTGTAAGCAGTTCACTGTCTTGCTCAAAGGCTCCTGAACGACGTTTCCTGGCTCTGTGGATGTGAAACCCGCCACCCTCTGGTTCCCCAGCTCGCAGCTGGAGCGTTCACAGTTGATGGCGGTCTGGAGCCAGCAGCCCATCTGATTTTCATTCAACCTCTTTACCGCCAGGCCAACTCGTTCCCCGCCGAGCCCGTATGGTGATTTCTCATTTTCATGTATTTTAATTGCAGAATGTGGCATTTGAAGCTTCTCACAGGCTGGGTTTGTATATTTCACCATCACCAGTCTCATTTTAACCACTGGCACTCTTATATTTAACACCTGGCAAAGTATCATTCAACTTCTGTCCTTACAACATGAAACAGTGCTCATATGTGGTTATAAACTGAGCCACTCACCCTCCAAACATTTGAAATCAAATATTTAACTGTTGCACTGGGTGACATACATTCAGCCCCACATACACACTGTCCTGCTGCCCCAAATACTCACTATATGTGTATCACCTCACGCCTGAATATAGTACCCAACAAATGCCCTCCTGTTTGAGTAACGTGACCAGAATTTAAAAAATGATTGTGACCTGTTTTCTGATCTGACCGAGTAAAGTTTTTGCAGTGAGAGGCGTCTTTTTCCAGTTGTTTTCTATATGCGTCTCCACTTCTGTTTCTGCTGTGCAAAAATGCAAAAAAATATCCTGGATTCGGCATCATTTGGAGCCAGAGTCTGTGCAGTAGGGACTGGGGTTGGCCCTGTGGTATGGCAATATATAGTATTTATATTAGCAGTGTTGCCTCACAGCAAGAAGGTCGTGGGTTCAAATCCTGGCTGGAGCAAGGCCCTTTACAGTGGAGTTTGAATGCTTATTAAGTGTCCAGTCAATACCCTTAACAGAGGAAAAACATGCAATTAGTTCAGTCCCATCTAAAAGGCCACGCCCATATAACGCTGCCATGGGGAAATTCATGACTTAACATTCAACTTCAGGGCCTACACTGGACCCTGCTGCACAGCAACACTGCCACCTTCTGGAATAAGTGCCAAAGTGATCACATTCCCACCAACGCGCTGGCTTGGAAGTTGCTACGGTCAAATCAAAAGCAGACAAGGGCTGTTCTGTTTCCTTTTCAACATAAACTTCAGGGTAGAGCACAAACGCAGTCCTCCATCACCCGAAATTACGCAACTACAATTCTCACATTTTGAAATCGGAGGGATTAGCACAATCAGATTGCAACGGTTAAGCCTCGCCCTGAGTGAGCCACCTTCGTGATCACAGTATCTTCCCAACAGGTAAGTATGAGTTGGGAGTGTCAGAGACTGGGAAGTCATTCCCAGACACATCCCCCTGGCTGATAATACCAGAGTAATGTTACGCCAGTGCCAGCTCGCATTACTTGATCATAATGATCATAATGACGACGATGATGACGACAATCTCCACAACAATGGAGAATTAATAATAGTATTCTTTTTGCCGTTTTCTATACAATTTTTTTTATTTTATTACAGTTTTGGCTACGTCCCTGAGTATCTGCACACGGCACAACACCTGCCCTTATATCGTGTGAAGGGGCTAATTAACAATCAGCCACACGCCTCCAAAAAAGATGAAGTGGGATTCATCATTCAGCTCACCTGAGTAAGAGCAGATACAGCTGAATGTTTTATATTTTCTCTTGACAGAAAGTTAAGAGTGTTGCTGCATGAGGCTCGTTGATACTCAACCAATCAGCGATACACCTGGAATACATCAGACAGACTCACAAAGGACACAGGAACAAACATAACAAATAAAAGACACATCAGGCCCACAGCAGTCCAATAATAACAGGCCCATTAAAAATAATGACCCAGTCCACTGACACGACCACGACTTATATCACAGCGCTGTGACTGCAGTAAAATTACCAGTAAAATTAGGTCCCACGTTGTATTCCTTGCTTCTGTTGCCACCACGGCCACACCGAGCTAATAAAGCCATGTGCGTATACGAGGGTGTCAGCCGCCGTCCTCTCTGCCCTTGTTGCTGCAGCTCACTGCGGGCTCTCGCGGCGTCTTTAGAAGCAGGCAGCGGCCATAACTGTCGGCTCTCTGACAGCGCCTTAATTAATGGCACACGCTTTAGATTACAGTTAACCAGGAAGAGGTGACAGCGAACACTCAAACTACATTTGCTGCTTCTATATGTGTATCCACACTCAGATTACTTACTCAGTTACTGATGGAAATGTTTGTATTAGTAATGTTATACATTTGGTTTGAGTAATGAAGAATCAGAAATAGGAAATATAGCACCTTATACTACAAAGATGTAGTATTTTCTTCTCTTTAAACATCTCAAAACAGTTTCAATGCAAATCTGATTTTTCATATTCAGCATTTACAGTTGGTCAAATCAAATTGTTGATCTGTTCTCTGTTGAAAACTATCGTTGTTAGCATGGTTGTTAGTCCTCCACTGGCAATCCCATGATGCTTTGGGTTAAGATAACATGTTCCTTTCAAGCAACATGAATAAAAGCAGAAAAGGGATAAAATACTAAAAATTTAAATCTAATTTGAACAATTAGAGCACAGAGGGTTAAAAAGTCTCATAGTTTTACGATTAAGTGGCATCTAAGCCACCATCTCCACAGATATCTTGCTCCAGTGTTGAGTTACTCAAAAAGTGTAATTTATTTCTTATTACATATTTAAGTTTAGCATCTGGTGCTGTGTAACTGCTGAGGACCCATACTGTACATTTCTAACATAAAACTACTCAGCATTTCTCGGTTCTTGACAAGTGGACTAATTGGTGATTAATAAAGTAAATAATCTTTATTTTATAACACTGCTCGTTCCTGCAACCTGCCCTTCAGTGATGGAAATCATAACAAGTAGTTGAGACTGTCCCGTAGAACAGACAGGTACTGATCTACTGTTACTGTACCGGAGGTTTTCCACTGACACTGTGGGTCAGATGGCAGCGGCACAGAGCAACACCCCCACCTCCATCCCCCCCAGGTGTGCCTTGAAACGTTGCCCAAAATGCTGTGAAGATCCCGGGCAACCACACCGATCACATGTACTTTATTACATTTTTAATGTGCTTTTTAACCTTCGGTAAATGAAATTAGAGTCCGGCCCGGCGCCAGGCCCGGCGCCAGGTGCCGTCACATAGGGGCGGATTCTCAAGGACTTTGTCAAAGTAACTTCCTGACTCACTGAGCGTCCTCCCCCGTCCTCCCCCCAGCCGCCTGCAGAGGCTCGAACCAACAAACAGGATATGAGGTCACAGCATGATGTATATTGCCATGCCAACCCTCAGTGGGCGGGCCTCTGGACTGCAAAGCCACGAATAAATCTCTCCCCGGTTGATCATCTGTCGCTGTGTCCGTGTTTGTGCATGATTCCCTCTGAGGGTGAGGGTGTGTGTGTGGTGTGTGTGTGGTGTGTGTGTGGTGTGTGTGCGCTTTCTGAGAGTGTTTACACCATAAAAACAAAATACAAACTAGATTAAAATCAAATGAAAATCAAAAATGCAGCTGTATGCGTACTCGCTGCACTCATCAACGCAGTGCAGGTAGTCAGATATATAATCAATACTGTGATCCTTAATTATTGGATTATCATAGATACAGAAAATCTACTAGGAACCCCCCACCCTGGAACAGGAACACAGCGAGGTGGTTGGATGGACCCGGGCAAGAGAAACAGATGCTGTGAGGTGAGGGTTTAGTGAGATGCGGCTTCCTGTAACCGAAAGGTCACAGGTTCAAACCCTGCAGCCAAGATTCAGCAGAACAAATCCCTACCTGCTCATTCAGTAGAAACCACTGAGTAACAAACGACACTTGAGCCGTCTGAGTGGAACTAAGAGGTTGTTTAATGAACCAGCTCCACATTGTCGATGCAGTGTTTGGCTGTCTGTATATGTGTACTATATTAATGTGCTTACACTCAACCTGCGTACATGAATACAAACATCAGAGAATTCACTCTTCCTAAGCCCCACCCCTTTCTGCTCTGTGCTCCAATAACAGTTGAAGAAGCCTCGATCAGAACCTCGGTCAACTTCCTCCTTTACTGTACTTAGATATGCTACGTGCTAGGCTCATCTATGTTGAAGGAAGTTGACTGAGTCTTGCTCAACTGTGATTGGAGGAAAGAGCAAAAAGGAGCGTGACATAGGAAGCAAGGTTTGAGTTATAATCTGAGCTCTGGAGGTCTCTCAAATAATAAATAATAGCCTAATGGATGCACTATCCATTAAACAGAGAGAATTCGCAGATATGTACGAGTTGTAAATCCAACACAAATGTAGAATCTACAGAGTTTAACACAATGTAACGTTAATGGAAATAATACTCATTACATTGGAAAAAGCCTGATTTGTCATTAGAATAATGGTTGTGGTAATGACTGCTTTCATGGGAGCTCAGACTCTTTCTCCCTCCCATGTAACTCGAACCCTGTCAGGGTCAATTATCACCGACCCTGCAGTTCCCCTTTGAGCTTCACTGCTTTCGTTAACTCTCACCTCTCAAATCAGCTTCGTCAGTATTGTTTTTAGCCGTACGGGCAGATTTTATCTCCAGAACTGCTTTGAGAAACCAGAGTCAGTGATGAGCCAGTAATGACAGCAGAGCATTTAGCGGCTAAAAACCCAGATATTTTTCTCTGGTGTTGGTGGAGACCAAAACTGAGCTAAAAGGAGAATAAATATTGGACCACCAGGTTGGTATAACGAGATCAGTTGGGAATCCTTCACATCGTCAGTCTTTCAGTGTAAAATCCTGTCTTTTGTTTACTTGCTTAGATGCATTGACACAAAAAAGGAATATGATATTAAAAATACTTAGCAACTCATTTTATTTGTCAAAGTCAGAGGGCTGAAGCTTCATATTCCTTCGCTGAACCTTTGAAGGCGTTTTAAAACAGAATGAGGGCTGTAAATTTTACCTCCACACACACTGGAGGAAGTGCATTAGATAGACTTAATGCTCAGTGTTGATAGAAGGAATGATCACAGCAAGAAAAACCTGACCACTCTGTTAAGATGTGAAAAATGTGAACTTATTCTTCCATTAAGTATTATATAGAAAAGATAAAGAGTTGTTCTGTTTCCATCATAAACCCATTTAACATTAGATGATGAATCCAAACACACACCAGTGGCACAAAAATAACACCTTTAAATGAAATGGTACAAACTGGGATAATTCAGAAACTAATGTTTGATGATCACTTGCTGCACTTTCACTTTAATGGATGGTTGTGTCATGAAAGTCAATCTGAGTGTACTTTTTACAGGATAAACTTATTCAGCGTTACAGCATCTTACAGGCCTCACATATAAATATGGATAATTATGATTAAAATCTTGGAAGAAAAAAGTAATTTTCCATCATTATTTAAAGAATTATTTCTATAATTGGAGTCTTGCTGATGTTACTTATGGAATCTTTTGTCTTTTAAGCCGGTATCGATATGACCTGTGAGTCCACATGAAGTGATTTATCCAGGCAGCAGAGGCTTCCTTTTTTATTGTTTATGTCCTGGCACACTCATTTGGGGCACTCTGGAGAGTCTGTGGCCTTCAGATGAAGCAGCATGAATTAATAATTGATGGACCTAAGTGTGTTGGAGGGGTGGAGGAGGGGCGGGATAGGGGGTTATTCAGCATATTTATCTAGGTCACTCCTGACTGCACAGTTCAGAATGCACTAAGATGCTTATTCAGAGGTGTGGGATGAGTTTCTTCCATTCCTCCTCACTTAAAAAAAACATTTGACTGCAGAGCTACATGGCAACAAACAAATTAAAAGACCTATTCCCTCATTAAACAGTGTATAAACTCTAGAGCTATGTTCTATCTGTAGGCGTGTTCATCACATTCATCGCCAAATGTCTTTCAACAATTTTCAAACTCATCATTTTCTTATCAGGTCACAATCCAAAGTCTGCAGTCTCCAGTATTTCTGGTTCAAGATCTTGAATGGAACCGTTCAGGAATCAGGTGGAGAAACACCGTCTGTGGATAATTGGGCTCCCGGTGAGAAACCTCCTGAACATACACACTGAACACTGACTACAATGGTGGTGAAAGACAACAACTCCCCATGATCCGCATGGCTGTTCACCACCTCAACCATTTTTTACCGTTGATGTGTGAGACCTTTAAGTGGCAGAAATGACATATTTTTACAATAAAGAAAGAATGATAAAATATCAGTAAACAACACAAAAACGCGACCTTTCCGAGCAAATAGTTCTAAAATAAATCTCCAGGTAGAAGAAGAAAGATATGTGCTTGA